GGGGGGGGGGGGGGGATCTTGTATGTTCAAGTTTGTTTTTCATTTGTATGCCAGCACTCTACACGCCGTATACTCTTTTCTTAGCCAGCTTTGTTGATAATCCTGTGTTATTAAAGTTTGTTTAAATATCAATTCCTTCCCAACCACTGCCCTTTCTGTTTAAACAATCTTGCAAAATTCTTAAGAAAATCTCTGTCTGCTTATCTGGGACCCTGGCTTAGTGAGGTTTAGATTTCCAGTTTGTGTGTGCCTCTGTGCAGTCCGCCAGGGTTTGTAATCCTCCCCCCTCCCCCCTTTTCTCCCTCCTCCTCCCTCCTTTCCCCTCCTCCACCCTTTAGAGCGACCCCCGTGACTTTCCGCCCTTTTTAGCAGCTAATTAAGGTCCCGGCGTGCCGCTCCATTTTGGCTGTTATTTTTTATCTGAAGCTCTGACGAAGATTTACCGCCGAGGGCATCAGGTCAGGCCTGGCGAACAGTGCCGTCAGTTCGGTTGGCGGAGACCGCAGTGCCCGTACGGCCACAGTTTTGCAAGTTCAAGTGTGGCAGAATGTTGCAGTCGCTTCGCCAATCACCAAGTTGTGACAACGAGGCGATGAAAATATTTGGTATTTGTACTATTTGTAGTATTTGACTGTTTCGGTACCCCCCAAAAAAAAAAGTTAAAAAATCAGGTATTCAGGTAATCTGGTACCCCAGCCGTTCATAGTTATTTTTGGATCATCTCATGCCGATCTCAGACTGCGAGGTGGTCATGGATTTCCAACAGCAGCGGCAGCAGCAGCAGCAAACAAACAAACAGCTTCTCACTGCTGGCCACACACTGACATACTTGTACATCTGGACCTGGGGTCGTTTGACGTCTTAAAGTTTTATAGTTTTAAACTTTTAATTTTTAAACTGATTCTATAAATGCTACCTGACGTCATAGCAAGGTGTCGCTAGCTATACTTCTGTTGAGATAGAGATTTTGCAGATTTGCCCCCGTGGACTGAAGGGCGGTTTTGACTCTTTTCAAGTCTTTTGTCGTGTCAAGTTGTCAGCTGACTATAAAATTATAAATAGTACGTTGGCCTGTTTGTCGATGGCGCACAGAAGTGTTGGGAAATGCCTTGCCATCAAATAATGGTAAAAAAGGCATCTAGAGGGGTTGTGGCAGGGTGGGGCGGGACCATTAGAGTGCAGAGGGTGGGATGAAGAGATTGATTGCCAGACACAGTGGTTGGTGTTTTAATGATAGCACGCAACGCACAGATGTATAGAGAAGAAGCCGGTTTGTTGTGCGTAAGTTTGTGATTGAAAACGGATGGTGTGGTGCGAGTTGCGATAAGGAAATTGTGAAGCGTAAAAGAAACCAGCAAAGGTGCAGTCTTGCGGTGTGTTCCAGCCATTGAAGAGCAAGTCGAGAAAGTCAAGCCTTTCTCAATCACAGACAAAATATGGACAGGAAAAATGAGTGTCGAGTCCTGACGACTCCGTTCAGCAAGTTCTTTTCTCTTTTTTAAGTAAAAAAAAATAAAAATGAGGTGAGCCCTAACGTTATTGTCTTATCAATTCATCTCATTCCGTCAGGAATTGGACTCATCATCTGTTCCCCAACAGACTCAACAGTTGCTTACCCACATAGGCTGGGTGGGTGGAGAGGGTTCTCTGGGCGGTTTCTGTGGAGAAGAAGTTGGGAATGAGATCCACAGTGAGAGATGAGACGTGGGAGAGTGCTCCACATGGACGGGGACTCGTTTTGTGTGAAAATCAGAAAAGTCTCAAGGCGTTTCAAAGTGTTCTGGTGGGTTTAAACCATACATGCGGCGCATTGGCATGCGCTGCAGCGCACATGCGCCGCACCGCGCAGCGCGCATGCCATGCGGCGCACAGGCAAATCGAGGGGTCCAAAAAAAAAAACGAAAGT